TTTATGCATTATTGGTGAATATGCGATCAATGTAGGCTTTTACGTGGCAGTTACGTTCTGAAAATTTGCAACAAGATGGGTAATAATGATATGCAGAAGGGTGTTGAGGTAGTAGTTGATGACCGAGAATCGTGGTCATTTGCACGATTTTCCTGTTCATAAGTGTGATGCCTACAGTATTTAGTAGATTGTACATTGTTAGTTGGCGATGCCTGACCCTTTTTCTTATCTAGTGATCAATGAAGCTAACAACAATTAATAGGACTGACAAACAAGCATCTTTGTGCAACTTGCACCGACTCAAATAAATGCTGACAATCCACCTGACAGTGGCATCTTACTTTCTATTATTCATCTACAAGTCATCAAAGACGGCTAACTTTGACTATTCGATAAGGAGAACCAAAAACACGTGCTTTGGGTTAATAAGAAAAAGAGTAGGGTACACCAACGAAACCATGAAGCAAGTTGCTTAATTTTACTCCGGTAATATTAAACGATTCACAAATCACCAACTAATCCGTTAAGCAAGTTTCTTTGGGCTAACTTTTCCTATTCAAAGGACCATGATTCTCTTATCAAGCGATTCACGGTAATCAACAACTACTTTAGCACTTTTCAGCAGATCATTGCCGCCCGTTTTGCTGCGAATTTTTAGCACTTTTGCTGAAGCCTGTAACTTAAAATAATAATAAAAAACCAACAAAACACTTGGTTAGTTATAAATTTTTTACGAAGATAGGCATGCCCTCTAAGTTGGTCATGTGAAGAAATATCACCTCTTATCCTCTTTCAAACGACAGCTAAACGTATTGATCTGGAGAAAAAGGAGAACAGGTAATTTATCTAACTCAAGGACACAATGTGCATCAAAACATAGTCTCTTCAGTCTAACTCAAATTGCTGGTCGTGATAGCATACACGCATAAAGTACTTTCCATCAGGAAGACCAAGACTTTATTGGATATCATGTGCGTTTTTTTTGTCTAGAAAGTGAAGCAAAAGTGAAAAAGAGAAGGTGGGGAAGAAACTATAACAAATCCAGGAAGACCAAGACTTTTCGGGACGCAAATTTACTTCATTACTTCACTTTTCACGTCCCTCCTCTTCCATCCCTATGCAAATATCTCTTTTTCCATCACTAGTAAAATTTCGACGCGTTACATGTCTTGCTTCAAATTAACAATACTATAAATTAGTACAAGAAGGAAGCTAAGAAGGAAGCCAAGAAGATCTTTCAATGGCCATGGGTGAAACAGTCCTGTAGAGAACAACCAAGGGTCATGGTGAAGTAAATCGATAATGAGCTAATGGAGAGAGAAAACTCTAAAGTCCAGGAAGACCAAGACTTTTCATCTACCAAAAAGATCAAACGAAGACCAAGACCTTTCAAGGAGGCTTTCTGTCCACAAGTGCTCTGTCCATGTGCAACCATAAACTCAGGAAGACCAAGACTTTGCTGGACATCATCACGTACTCTTTTGTCTAGAACGTGAAGCAGAAGCGAAAGAGAGCAAATGAAAAAGACAAAAGACTTTGCAGGACGCAGATTGGCATTGTCGCTTCACTTCTCACACCCCTCCTCTTCCATCCATCCCTATGTGAATGCCCTTTTTTTTTTTCCAATTACTAGAATTTCCCCACGCGTTACATGTCATGCTTAAAATTGACTGTTTCTACAATTTTTGTCCAACTCTTTTCATGCCTAATCGTACTGTGATTTTTCATTCAGTAATCTCTCTTGTACTTGCCAATTAGAATTATGTCTAGATTTCCATGTATCTTTTCAAATTTAAGTTCAATAAAAGAAAAAAAAAAGCAAAGAGAAAAAACAGCAAGAACTTAAAAAAGGTAGAAACAAAAAAGTATGAATGGGGGCAAGAGAGCGCACGACTGTCCCACGGCCACTGCCATGCCGTTGCCATCAGCAACGCTGCTTATGGTCACCTTCATAGACAACATTTCCTTGAGATGTTATTCTTAGAGCAGTTTAGGAGTTAAAAGAATAATGACATCGTAAGTACCGAAGCTCTTGTTCTGTTTACAATGGAGTACCTGAACTTCTTTTTTTCAATCAAGAACCTCAAATTTTCAATTTTGGCTCAATTTGAGGTATCAGTTAAATAACTTGCCATGTTATATGATTTTGCTGACGTGACTCGCTTACTGAGTAAAAGTTAAACATAATAGTTGACGTGGCTCCATACCCTAAAGATTGAGTGATGAGGATAGAAAAAGTGTGTTGACTTAGACGATTTTAGTGTCTAATATATCTCGGCTAACGTGATAGCATCTCGAGGTACCATATCAGACGTCAATATGGACAGTTAACGACTATTTAACAACATTGGTATCATATCAACATTTTTTGTCCGCGATTTTAATGTAAGTCTTGACCTACATTTGAAAAGTTGAGGTAATTGACTGAACAAAAAAACATGTAGTTACTTGATTACAAAAAGGCTAATAATTCAGATACTTGCTCGTCGTTCCCAAGAATTTATCATGCGATGATTGGTCTAGATTCAAATCTCAAATGTACTTTTGATTACACGATATTTATTCTACGAACTCATCCTCTCGATTCATTGCTTGGTCTCGCTTAATAATCTCCTTTTTAAGATTTTTCATTCTTTCATGTGAAAGAGAACATTAATTAGTTTTGTTAATTTCGAGCCGTTGCAAAAAGATTTCTATGGCTGAATGTCAAGCACATTCGGAGACTATAAAGCTCTTGCCCCTTTATTTTGGCCAATTCCATTGCTTTCCCCTTGATCTCCTCGCCCAAAACTAATAAAGTATGTGCAGGGAGTTTGGCCAAAATGATCGAACCGGTTTGATCACCGGTTCACTCGCTAAACCAGCGAAACAGACTGGTTTTCAAAATTGGATCGACCCAATTTTAGAGTCTCGCAGGTACAGAATTGGGCTTCCGGCCGCTGTTGCACACGGAAGGGCTCGAGCACCTAACTCAATGGACCGCTGGCGCTCCGCTTTACCCCCAAGGCCGAACGATTCACGTGCTCACAGCCAATCGACAACATTACATACCTATAATTGTTTGCTCATGACATCATCACTGGTTCACCCATCGTCCAAGCGCTTGGACCGGTTGAACCACAAACTGGCAACCTAACTGGTTCTCTAAGCAGCCCAAGTTTGAAAACATCAGTGCAAAGCTCAATCCCTACTTAAAACAAGTAAATATGACTATCTTATATGAATTGAGTTGGAATTAACGAAATACTTTTACGCCATAACAAAAGATGATAGCAAGTGATTATACCTGATAGAGGTTCAGCTATTATAGAATTACTGTCGTGGATGCTCCTCTCTCACTCCTTGAGCATACGAGATGCAGGAAAACCTTCGTAATGCTCCAAATGAGATTGATGCTCAACCTCCACGTCCTACATTACTCCTGTCGTTGCTCTAGTTGGAGCTATGGCCAATGCTTGACCTTTCCCTTAAAAATTTCGTAACCAACAGTAAGTCTTTGCTTTGGCATCCCACAAACTTCAATTTAAGATGCTAATAAATCTTAGTCAAGAGGGAAAAGAGTTAACATCTTCAACTTCATTTAGTTTACAATCAATAATGAAAAATAGTGCTATAACACCAGAAAAAAAAAGGGAAAATCAGAAAGGGCTCCACCAACGAAGATAAAAGATTACACGAAGAAACAGCAAATTTAGAATTATTTTGAGTATGCGCTAAATCAAATAAGGAAACTTAACTCTAAATATCAATATATCCTCCACAAAAAGAAGAGAAAGGATCTTTCTAGTTTATTTGACTAAAAAGTGCCATACCCAGGAACATCATCTCTTACATCGCCCTTTCCATCCTAATCTTCGATATGCAGGGTGACATCCGTCCACCATCACCCAGCGTCACTTCTAATCACATTTCAGCATCGCTAGAGGCATATAATAAGCTCCCAAGCACTTGATCATTTCCCTTTCTCTGCAGTGGACAATTTGTCACCCTTGTCATAGATGTCCCCAAGTTTCATGTGCTCGACGACACGCCATTCATCTATGACAAGAAAACTTTCTTTACCTGCAATGCTAAGCCAAAAGGTTTGTCAACTACATTGTCACCTTTGTGTATCAAATGCAAAAAATATTGCAAGGGTAAGGCCGAAGTATCTTTTCTGCTGCTTCTGTTTATGTTAAGTCAAACAAATTTAAATAACACAACCTTATATGCTCTTAGGAACTTAGTCGAGCATGGCATGCTATCGAGAGGTCATAGGACTATGTCAGGCTTGAGAAGAGATCTAATTGCCACAATCAAAAGAAAATTATTTCAGTGTCATCTTGAATAAACCTCAAAAGAAATGAAATCTATCAACCATGGTATTTGGTTATAAAGCAAAAACCAGAAAAATGCAGTGCAAAATATTTTTAGCTATACAGTAGCAGTTCAGTTTGTCGCAGGCAGTTTAAGATATCATGGTTTTTATGAGCAAGAGAAGAAATCTAGTGGCAACATTTGAAAGCAAATTACTCAACATTGTCTCCAGTGAGTTTGCTAAGAATTTTGATAAGCAAAAGAAATTTATTGCAAAATGGCATCAAGCAGATGCTAGCCTGCGTAACAAATCATGAACACAATTCATGTTATGAGGTGCACATTAGTAATGTCATTTCCACACAACCAAAAGCTGTGGAAAGCCATCTATGATTCAAACTAAAAAACCAGTCTTCCTATTTTCAAAGGCTCTCCTATTTCTTTCTTCCAAACAAATCAGTAAGCTAAAGAAATGAATCAACCATAAACACAGCCCAGCATAAACAAAGAGTTATATAAACTACTTATCGTTCGATGCTGGGTTCTAAAAAACAACAAAAGGAAGTTCTCTAGTAGAACCCAAAAACATGAGTGTGCCATAGTTTCATGGAGATTTTGAATAGAAATTGCAAGACCTATGGAAGAGGCAATCAGATAGAAAGCAAATGAAAGTATGTTGCAAAAGGAAGTTTTAGATATTGTGCACCTGAATATCCATGCACAGCGATGAACAAGGCATTACTGCAGGGTGAGCTCAGAATCTAATTTGAAACAACAATAGAAAGAACGTTAATTATTGCAGCGGCAGATAGGCTATGTTCTCCATGATTGCTACTACCCAATCATCTCTTTGACCCAACAATTGAGATTCAAATAACTTGCAGGATTGTAAGTTCAACTTCAGAATAGCAGATTAGTATTGCAGAACTCAGTAACTCGGACCAATAACTGGGAATGAACCGGTCACCGTACATAGACTGCTTCTGATGTCCTTGCTGGCACCAAGGCAGGCTGAGAGTTGCCAAAAGCACTATCTGCACATTTCTTAATCATTGATTCAGGAGTTCCAGTGGCAATGTTTAGGACTAACAAGGAATGAAATGGATCAGTCCGTTATTGGTTAACTTAGTTTATAGATGTAAGGACGAGTTTGTCTAATTAAATCTGTACAGAAAATACTCCAAACTTTGAACTTGTGAAGAAGAAGACTGGAAAGCAAGTAATCTTGACTGCTCGAACAAGAACATATGACCTTAAAATGAATCACAAGGCTTGTATTCATTGTCGATTTCATATATATCCATGAAGGAGCTGTCTCCAACTGCAATATCCTCCAATTCACTAATGGCTTCTTCTTGGTCAAGCTGCATAGGGATGCCTTCATCCTCAGAGTTACCCTCAAGAAAATCATTATCTTCCATATCCGATATGTCTGTAAAAGTTTCTATCTTTTTCTTCCTCCTTCTATAACCAATAAGGCTTAGGACCTTTTCCTTCCACAGAACCAGCGGACATTTCTGAATCAGCTCTGCACCTTCATAAGCTCCTGTCAAGAACACACTAAACCTCTTCCCCCTCTCAGAGACATAGAAAACGCCAAGATGCTTCAACAAGAGTCTCATCAGCTTCTGAGGCATCACGAATTCTCGTCGAAAGTGGGTGAGGTGATCCGTTACCAACCTCTTTTCCATTGTGAAGCTGAGTAGCTCATGCATCACCGCAATGGCCCTCTTATCGAATTCTTTTGATACAGCTTGGAGGCCACGTGCATCAGCCTAAGGAGATAAGTAAGATCTTTTCTGAAAGTGCTCAATCGACCCTCCATATCTATAGATTTTATTGTAACTGGCAGGAAACTTCAAGGGGAAAGATAGGGAAAGCAACCCTGGAGTATGACAGGCAGATTCTGATACCCCCAATACGGCTTTCTCCAACTCTGTGATAGCCCAAGCAGGATTCCACTCGACAAGCTCGAGATAATCAACTTCATCCGGAGATTTAACCACTTTGAAGTGCTGTGGATACTCGTGTACCCACTTGCTCCTAAAATCAATTGGCAAACCAAACTCTCTCCTGAAATGAGCAATTTTGTCCAATGGAAGCCATTTATCGACTGACATCATCAACATCCTAATCACGTATTCGGCCGCCGTGCCAGAGTGTTCCCTAATCAATCTCTCCTCTTCCTCTAAGAGGTCTTCAGCTTCTTTAGTCATTCCACATCACAATACCCCCTTCTAATCCTTGTACAACTCAAACAGCTTCGGTGACTTCCAAATAAAATCCACTATACTGTGTGGCTTGGGCGAATTAATTTGTCTCCGGTATCGATCCAACGACCTCACGGGGATTATCATCTCGGGTTCCTTCTTCAACATTTCCATCAGAACCAACACCTTAGACACCACTTTATGCTTCTCGGTGGCGATTTCGAGATCATGGACCCTCTTGTTCTTGCTCCTATCTTGCACTCTCTTGTTCGTGGTCATGAATCTACGCTGCGACCAGGTAAGCAAAACCTCGCCAAAACTCCAATTTCCTCTCAGGGTAGGCAGACGCACTGGCGAGGTGACAATGCATCCAAACTCTCTTGCCGCACTCCATTCGTTCGAGGAAGCTACGTTTTACAGTGAATTGAAGATGGGTCATCTCAAGACGCTAATGCCTTGCTCCAAGTTCAAGAAACAAGCCCAAGAAAAGCGAATGCCTCTCACTCGGGACAGACATCAAACAGCTTGCGTGCAACGCAATGAGGGAAAACAAGACCGTGAAACGAAAACATTCGAGAAGATCACCGTGCAAGCACGATTACCACCACCTTGGGTTCCCTCGATCAGCACCAGTTACGGTTGGATTTCAAGTGTGGTTTGTGCTGAGAACGAAGAAGAAGCGAGGCGAGAACGAGAGCGAAGGGGCGGCAGTTCTGGTTTTCGCAAGAAACGTTGGCATTTCTCTATTATTATTACTTTATGGGAAAATTTCGAAGAAGGATAGGAATTTTCCTCATTTTTTAAAATAAGAATTTAAAATGAATTTTATTTTAAATAAGAGCTTGAAGTAATTTTTATTTCAAAAAAAGGGTACGAAGTAGTCATATCAATATCAAAAAAGGGTATGATTTCACCAACTAATTAAAGGCATTTTCGTTCTTTTTTTTTATTTGAAATAATATCTATTTCAAGTCTTTATTTAAAAAATTGATGACAGTTCACGCTCTTATTTAAATTTTTCCTTGCGTTTTTCCCAAAAACTAAAAAGAAATAAAGACATATCAGCTTTTGTTTTGCTTTCGGGCTGTCCAATGAGTTTTGCATTTGTCGTCGCAATTAAAATGATTTTTTTTATTTTAAACAATTAAAAGAGCTCGAGAGTCTTACAATTGTTTATATTCATGTGTTTATAAAAAAAACTGTGGTGTTTGAGATTACCTGAAAAATCTAGTGTAAATCCATAATGAAGTTTAGTAAAAAAAATAAATTGAATCATGTGAAATCAAACATTAATAACGTGTAATAAATAGACAGTTAAACTTCTTCTTGTTATATATAAGTTTAAAAAGTTACGTAAGAGAATAATTTCTTTAAGAAAAAATATACGTAAGAGATTACTAATAATTTTAACTGTCAAGTTTGAATTGCTTATTTAGCAAATTGGAGCAGGAAGGGTCCAATACTATATAAAAATAAAATTTCATACATTACAACAATAAATCAAGTGTGCTCCGTGCTTGTCATCCTTTAACGAATTACTAAGTCACTAGTGCTAGGAAATGTGTCGGCTTAGGCAAGCACGGCCAACTCTGTCAAGAGCAATGGATGTGGAGTTTGAGTATCATGCGGTTGACCAAAGCATCTATCACAATGCCTAATCAATTTTTTCCTTTTCTAAAAAGAATTTTATTTGGTTGATAGTTTGGGAAAATTATAAACCGAGCGGGACTCATGTGAGAATGGAATCGAACTCCGTTTGCCCGGACTACCGGTCCATGATAAATCGAATTTGAGTTATTTTACGCGAAAAAAAATAAACAAACTGAATTTTCTTTCTCTCTCTTAGAGAAATGGATCTCATAAATTCATAAACTCAATTAAACCTCTTTCTCTTTTAAAAAAAAAAAAGAGAAGAAAGAATGAACTCAATCTTATAGCGGATTTCAAATCATTACTCAACTCGAATTAACCTGATCAAATCGATCCCGCTTCTAACCTTCCTATATAAACTCGTTTTAATTTCTAATTGTTTCCCATTGCAAATTTTTTTTTAAACTCTCTTCTTCTTTTTCACTTAGCAAACCAACCTGCAATCACACGGATGTAGAGAAATTTGAAGCTCTCACATTGCGACATTGAGGTGAATATAAAATCGAGCAAAATGGAATTGAGTTATTAAATGCGAAATTAAAAAAATCAAACACAATTTATTCTATCCCTCTTTAGGAATGGATCTTGTAAATTCTTAAAATTATTTTAAGAATTCATAAGATCCATTAAACCTCAATTTGTAAGATCTATTTCGGAATAATAAAACTCAATTAAACATCTTTTTCTTAAAAAAGAAAAGAGAAAAGAAAAATAAGGCAAGAGCCCTTCTTCTCGCTTCCCGCCTCTCTCTATATATAGACGATTCCCTCCCATTTCCTATCGTTTCCCATCCTCAAAAAATTTGAAAGTCTCTCTTTCTCCGCAGAGCAAAAGAACTTCGTCGCCGATCGTCACGCTCCATCGTTGAGGACGATTTCATTTCTCAGGTGAATTTTGCGAGCTCCGGCAGATTTCGATTCGTGTCCTCTGCCGCGATTTCATCTCCGAGGATGATTTCTGAGTTCCGGCTCGTGTTTCTCGCTGATCTGCACAGCCGACGAAGAGCAGAGCTAGCTGCAGCTCGTGGAAAGAGAAGACATCGACGACGGCGACGATGAGGACGACGTGATCGGAACGATCAACGAAGTAAGTGAGAGCGAAATGGAGCGCCGGCGACTGCTCTCTGCTCGTGTCATCGATTTGTCGTGAGTTTTGGCGGCGTCGTGTTTAGGCTTGCGAGGCGAAGATTCGGTTTGGTTCTGACTTCTGAGATGATGATAATCGTTATTTTCTGATCAGCTCGTAGGCGATTATTGACTTCGCTAATTTTGTTTGGATTCGATTTCGTTCACCTGATGCTCTCGTCGTTGAAGTGAACTTCGTAGTCGACCAAGTTTGTTTGGTCTCTGTTCCGAAGTCGAAATAGAATGCAAATCGTTCGACGCATCTATAGCTGTAAATCTCTGTGTATATTGATATAAAGTGACTCTAAATCCTGCTCAGCGGATTAGCTTGATTTCGGTTTGGTTGCTCAGTTTAGCTCGATTTTCCTGGAACATCACCGCGAATCCATTCATATTTTTTACATCTTGACCATTCCAGTGAATCCGTTGTGATTTTCCATGCATAAGATAGAGTAATTTTCGCTGCCGTTCAAACATGATATGTCTGATTCACCTCTTTGACGTACGTCTTCTGATCATACAAGAGCAATTCGGCTTTTGTTTATGTTAGGTGACATTCAAATTGCACGTGTGTTTTCCACGTATTTGTGACACATATGAATTAATAACGAGTATCCTAAGCTAAATTCGTCAATAATCACTATTGGAACACTAGATTGTCATTGATCTAGGAAATGCTTTTGTCTTGACATTCTACGTCCAACAAGGTATGGTTAACACGATGGCGTGTCATTCTCACGTTCTTTCTCTGAACTATGCTCATGTTTTTGTTTGCAGTTATTTCTCAGCGAATAAATGCTGGAGATGTAGGAATCTACACTTGCAATGGCTTGATGACGCATACAAAGAAGGTATCTTCTGATCTTCAGTTCCGAAAATTAAGTGGAGGTATTATTTGGCTATGGTGATTTCCTTTGTCTTTGTTTTGTTCTTTTGTAGCACTTGACTGGAGCAAAAGATGAGAGGATATGCGATGCGAAGCAGCTGAAAATATAGTGGTTAGAGCTTAAATTCTTCTTTTCCTGAGATGGTGGCTGCTATCAATCGGAACTTCTATATGCATCTCGCATTAACTTCCCCTTGTTTTCATCAGAATTTTGGTTATATTACTGGAAGTGACGCTATGCTCAGAGTAAGTTCTTAATCCTACAAACTTCGAGCTAAAATGGTTCGGAAGACCTGAATGAGTCATTGACCCTAGAAATAAAGTCTGCAAATTAGCATATGGACTGTAGAAAGCTGCACTAGCTCTAAACACTATTGACCTCACAGCACAACATACTTTTAATGTCTTTGTTTCCAGAGAAAGTCGGTTGTTCGCATCACAACTGGAAGCCAAGCCCTCGATGAGCTTTTTAGGAGGTAATAGACTTTGTTTTGCAGATTGTGTATATTATTCTTCATGCGTTTCAACAAAAACAACTTTCACTGGTCTGGAAATGTTAAACAGGTGGTATTGAAACTCTGTCAATTACAGAAGCATTTGGCGAATTTCGGTGAAAAGCACAGTCCGACAACGTTAGCTTTGATGAACTTTTACTTGCTTTTGTTAGTTGGTTTTCTCAAAAAATGCTGCTAACGTCAGTTCAGGTCTGGGAAAACACAGCTTGCACATACTCTGTGTGTTTCTACTCAGGTTGGTCTGAATTGCATATTAGGTTTCCGTCCTTAACTTCTGTTGTGTTTTTATGTTTCCTAGATTAACGATGCATATATGAACATAGTGATTGAATTTCTAGTAAAGAATACAGCCATGGTTGATCTTGGCATCAGAACGTGCGTATTAGGTGATTCTGGAAGGATGGCACTGTCATTTTCTGTAATCTGCAGCCAGTATACTGGAATGCATAATATGCAGTGGTTCAAACCAAGTAGAAAAAAGCCAGGAGAGCGTACTAGGTCATAACCAATCAGAAGCCTTAATCATTGTTAGACTTGGACTTGGGTTGATCATCAGTTGAATGTAATGCTTGAAGTACTCCACTTTATATGCAAATCTTACAACATTATTTTCCCCTCTTTCCATCACTCATTATTAAAGGTAATCCTGTTCCATAAGATGATGATTTATGGTTTGTGGATTCGATGATCCTAACAATTTTTCCAGCTGCCAACTCACATGAGAGGGGGGAATGACAAGGTAGCTTACATCGACATGGACGGAACTTTGTATCCTATTATAATTTGTCAGTCATTTTCTTAACCTCAGCAAAGCTGCTTTTGTTTCATACTCGGCGTACGTCCATGTAAGTGCATATGCACTTTCTTAACTTGGTACACATGCAGTCGCCTTGATCGAATTGTACCAATAGCCAAAAGATTTGGCATGGATCCTGGTGCCGTCCTAGATAATGTAAGCAATGCTTTCTACACTGGTGGCAATTCTTCCTTCTTTTCGGGCTAATGTAATTGCTGTAATCTAGTCTTTCCATGAATTTGAAGATCATTTATGCCTGTGCCCATACTTATGAGCATCAGCACAACTTGCTTCTTGGTTTGGCTGCCAAAATGTCTGAAGAACCAATTAGGTTACTGGTAAGATGGTGCTCGAAAATCAAACTGCACAGATTTTGTGAGGTGTCGATGGGGGGCCTTAGCTGAGTTATATCCTTCAGACTGTGGATCCAGTGATCACTCTATTTTGAGTAGATTTTACTGGAAGGGGAGAATTTTCAGAGCGTTAGGTTGATTCTGAAACCATCAAATCATGTGAGTTGTAATTTTTCAGCTCATCTGGTTTGACACTAATAGATTCCCAATTGCAGAAAAAATTGGCACAAATGCTCTCACGCTTACTTAAGACAGCTGAGGAATTTAACTTGGCAGTGTACATGACCAATCAAGGTACCGCATCACATCTCCTTTCTCCCACATAGTCATCCACTAAAATTTCTTGTCCAATTTAGCCCTTTGATGGTTTCTCACTGAAAAATAGCAATTTGGGGACTGCACTAAGCTCATACTAGTTCTTGTAAATCTCAAGAACCATCTATTTGGTGTAAATTGGCGATGCGTACAGTAGCTGCAGTCCACGAGTTAAGGAAAAGATGGTTTTTTGATGACTTTGTCTTTATTTTATTTGTTTCAGTCATTGCTGATCCAGGCCGTGGTGTGTTCGTATCAGACCCAAAGAAACCCGCAGGCGGGCATGTTCTGGCTGACGCAGCCACAATTAGGTTGATGTTTAGGAAAGGCAAAGGTGAGCAGCCCGTTTGCAAGGTGTTCAATGCCCCGAAGCTGAAGCTGTATCCTTTTTGTGCCAGATCTTCCTCTAGTTATATACTTTCTTGAACTTTATGAGATCATACTGCAGAGACTTAAGTAAAATATCTATAAGTCTATATCAAAATCTTCGAGAAAGTTGATACTGAGTCTACATATAGATAGGTGGAGACCTGATTTAAGCATGATGCTCACAGTATACTCGATGTTGTATGGAGATCCGCAAACACGTTGAATACCAAATTTATGCAGAGGAAAATTAAACAAAAAGAAGCGGAGATCGAGAATTTTTCAAAACCATCACTTTTTAAAGAAATTTTAGCGAGAGCTCATATGTCAATAAGATGAGATTGAGATTTATTTCATCTATGTTGAACTTGACAGATGCACGTTTTTCAGATAACACCAGGGGTCATAGCCAATGCAAAGGACTAAAGAGGTCTCTCCAACCAGGAAGGCCGGGCGAAGTACTTTTTTATTTTGAATCTGCAATTTGATATTAGCTATCGCATTGACAGCTTTCTCTATCTTCTTTCATATTAAGTTTGTATGGGCATGTGTCAAGTTCCCTTTGACTGCTTAAAAATTGCACGAGAGTTTGCCGCTTTCGCCTTGATATCTAACTTGATATATTGTCTATTATTAAAGTTCAGATGACCCTTCACAAGGCGTTGTGTAAACTCGATTTCCATATGAGGACAAGCATGCCTCAAGTTATCATGGTTCACATTTGTCCACATATAACACAGTAGACATTTAAGTAAAAAAAACACGACATTGAATAGACTCTCTGCATGATGGCTAAATGAAATGCTAGAAAGATATTATTGCACAGCATGATCAGGTTTTGTAAAGGCTTGGTTCTATTAGCAACATATACAGCTGGATAAAAAAATGTTACCTCAAATTCTCAACATAGAGCAACCAACCGTTAGAGTTGAAAATTGTCAATGTATGAGAAAGGCTGACTGGGTCATAAGCAACAGGAGGTCATTCGATAGCTAATGGCCTAGCCAAAAAAGGGCCACAAAGCATATGACTCGGTAGTGTGTGGACTAGTTCGCAGCACTTCCAACTCTAGGCATGCTGGACTCCTTCTTAGTCTCCGCATCCACTTTGAACGTGGCGCCACACACTTGGCCAGAGCTGTCCACCCTAGGAACCGGCTTCACCTCATTCGGTGGGTGCTCATAACTCCTCAAACCTCTGGAGCTGGTAAAGAAGCATCCTGAGTACAAAAAGAAGGCAACGTTAAAAGGTGAACGCGATTTGGAGCTGGAAAACCATCGGAAGAGCAACATTGTAGGTGAATATGCACCTGTCAAAACATGCATACAAGTAAAGAACACCATTTTAACCTTAGATTAAAAATTTAGGTTTGAAACCAATTTTTTCCAATTTGTTGTTACCCAACAACATAACATTCTCCTCTGAACTCTGCTTAATATCAGCAGAGCTCATCCATTCTTACTTTTCACATTCCAATGCTCGGAGGAAACTCCAGTGATGCTGCATTAATGATCCGTGCAAATAATTACCTTTAGGAAATAGTGCAACAGTTTCCCATAGCCCTTCTTCATGACTTCTACATCGTCTGAGAGAACAAGATTGCCTTTGGAATCACTTCCCCAGAAGAAAGGGAAACTTTTGTCAACATCCTGTATGATTCGCCTCAGTGGCTGGTTTTCGGATATTTATGTGAAAAATCTCCATGAGTAAAATCAGTTTATATTAAGCATTGAATTAAGGAAACTGACTTCAGATGGAAGAATGAATTGCGGCAGTTAGCAAATGAAAGCGAATGTGGATCGATTTTACTTCATTGGATCCAAACCCAATCAATCTTGATGAGAGCGATATCTTGGATGAGGGGCCAAGAGTCGCCGGTGAGTTTTGAGCGTCCATCTTTCAGAATCTCGCATCTACATATGTGCAATTGTTGGAGGGAGGGAGGCCATCCTCTGGCATTCACCTCAACTTCGGGCAATCTTCAATCCATAAATGTTGGAGAGAGGAGAGATGGTTGTGAAGACTGCTTGATAGTCTTTCCACGTTCCTCGTATCTGTCAAGTTAAGAGAGGTTAGAGAAGAAGGAAAGAGAAGACTCCACACATCCTCGTCCTCGGAAGGAAACCACACCTTCTCTCTAAATTCGTTTCCAGAGAAAGTCGGTTGTTCGCATCACAACTGGAAGCCAAGCCCTCGATGAACTTTTAGGCGGTAATAGACTTTCTTTTACAGATTGTGTATATTATTCTTCATTTGTTTCAATAAAAACAACTTTCTCTAGTTTGGCAATGTTAAACAGGTGGTATTGAATCTCTAACAATTACAGAAGCATTTGGCGAATTTCGGTGAGAAGCACAGTCCAACAACGTTACCTTTGATGAACTTTTACTTGCTTTTGTTAGTTGGTTTCCCACAAACTTGTGCATCCGTTAGAAGATCTTATCCCATTTAGCCCTTTGATGGTTGCTCACTGAAAGACAGCAATTTCGGGACGGCACTAAGCTCATACTGATTCGTGCAAACTAGTGATACATAGAGTAGCTGCAGTCCGTGAGTTAGGAAGAAGATAATTTTTTGACGACTCTGTCTTTGATTTGTTTGTTTCAGTCGGAGCTGATCCAGGCGGTGGTGTATTCATATTAGACCCAAAAGAAACCTGCAGGTGGGCATGCTCTGGCTCTTGCAGCCACAATTAGGTTGACGTTTAGGAAAGGCAAAGGTGAGCAGCGCGTCTGCAAGGTGTTTGATGGCCCAAACCTACCGGAAGCTGAAGCTATATCCCTTTTGCGCCAGATCTTCGTCTAGCTGTATACTTTACTCCATTGAATTTTACCCGATTATACTGCGGAGACCAGGTAAAATATCTAGGAATTTATATCAAAATATGTAATAAAGTCGATACCGAATCTTCATATGGATAGGTGGAGTCTTGATTTAAGCATGATATTTACAATATACCTATGTTGAATGGAGATCGATGAACGTGTCAAATATGAATATTGTGTGGAGGAATTAAATAAGAAAGTGGATGTCGAGAATACTTCTAAGCAGGAGTGGTTGATTAACTGTGCAGCTTGTGCTATGTATACGATGCACATCTATCAATACCATCACTTAATTTCACTCAGAAAATTTAGCGAGAGCTCATCATGTCAATAAGAGAAGACTGAGACTTGTTCCATGTGTGTTAGACTTGATGAACACGTTGTTCAGATTACACCAGGAGGCATGGCCGCTGCAAAGGACTAAAGAGGTCCCTGCAAGCAGAACAATAAGATCAAGCACTAAAAATGATAATGAAAGAGGGCGCCATGTCTGGACGGGCGGGCGGAATGGATGAGCAAAGGGTGCCATGGACTGAGGAAGATCCCGAGACTCATCTAAGACAACTAAATGCACCCCGAGGTTCTGCCGAGGAACTGGGGGACCTTCTTGAGCACAGGATAGGCAATTGAGAGATAGAGCTAGCCTATTCCCTTTTGTGTTGATCTGCAATTTGATATTAGCTGAGTATTGACAGCTTCCTTCTATCTTCTTTTTCCTATTAAGTTTGTATCGGCACGTGTCAAGTTCCCGTTGACATCTTAAAAATTGCAAGATTGACTGCTGCTTTAGCCCTAATCTCTAACATGCTATCATTGTCTGTTATCGAAGTTCAGATGATCCTTCATAATGCGTCGGGTTAACTCGATTTCCATATGAGAACCAGCATGCTCCAAGTTATTTCGGTCCACTTTTTTCCTCATTTAACAACTAGTAGAGATAACAGCATTACAATAGACATCTAATTCGAAAAAACGTAACATAAGAAAAATTGCATGATGGCTAACTGAAATGCCAGAAAGATATTATTGCACATGATCAGGTTCTTTAAAGGCTTGGTTTTATAAAAAACATGTACAGCTGCATAAAACGTCATCTCAAACTCTCAACATAGAGCAACCGACCATTAGAGCTGAAAATTGTCAATATATGAGAAAGGGTGATTGGGTTATAAGCAATAGAAGGCCATTCAATAACTAATGGCCTGGCCAAAAAAGGGCCATAAACCATAAGACTCAGTAGTGCGAGGACCAGTTCGCAGCACTCCCAACTCTAGGCATGCTGGACTCCTTCTTAGACTCCGCATCCACTTTGAATGTCGCACCGCACACTTGGCCAAGCTGTCCACCCTAGGAACCGGCTTCACCTCATTCAGTGGGTGCTCATATCTCCTCAAAACCTCCAGAGCTAGTAAAGAAGCATCCTGAGCGGAAAAGAAGGCAATGTTTAGAGGTGAACAGTTCGGTGCTCGAAAACCATTGGAAGAGCAACATTGTAGGTGAAAATGCACATGTCAAAACACGCATACAGATAAAGATTGCCACTTTAACCCTAGATCAACAAGTTAGATTTGAAACCAATTTTTCCAACTCATGCCAAAGCTTATGCATCTTTACTTCCTATAAGTCTTCCAATATGTTGTTACCCAACAATGCAACATTCTCCTGTGAACTCTGCTTAATATCAGCAGAGCTCATCCATGCTTACTTTTCACATTTCAATGTGCGGAGTAAACTCCAGTGAAGCTGCATCAATAATCCCTGAAAATGATTACCTTTCGAGAATGGTGCAAAGGATTTCCCACAGCCCTTCTTCACAACTTCTGCATCATCCGAGAGGACAAGATTACCTTCAGAATCACTTCCCCAGAAGAAAGGAACACTTCCATCAACATCCTGCATGATTAAGACAAGAGAAGGGATTAGATAGATCTCAGGTGGAGGGAGAGATTGAGAGAGATATTCCAGATCGAAACCAATGAATAAAGTCCAACAAAAATCAGTTTGATCTAACCATTGCCTCTCTAAACAAAGAAATCAAGAATCTTTGTTTTTTTAGAGCGACCGTTACTATTCTTTTTTCTAAAGCTACCATTATCAAGAGATGGACTGGGTACTTGAATAGAAGAAAGATGAACTTTAATTTTTGACCAGGCAATCAGTTTTTAAAAGGGTTTTGATCTGCAAGTTCATTCGTAATTTAGCTGTTAAATTCGCACATTCAAAACCTCTGTTTTCAATCTATTCTTCCATCTACACAATAAGTGTTATAAGAAGAAAGAAAGCTTCTTATTTTGAATATGACCTGAAAATGTTGAAAGGACATTATCTAATTTCATTATAGTATTTTTTGGCTAGGGACGGCCTACGATATAGTTACTAAAAGCAATTCTGTACTTAGAGTTGAAAGTACAAATTTTTTGTTGATCATGAAAATATTATCAAAATTAATTCTCCTGAACAGTGCCAAACAACGAAAATGGGGAAAATATCTTCGTACAGCTAATTTCTCATAAATTATACCAGGACTGCAATCCAGACTCAGTTTTTAAGCTATTGGCAAATGATACTGCATATTCAATGTCAAAGACTTAGACTCGTCCTTCTGCGAACCCTAATCAAATGACACACGTCTGCCGCTGTAAATGTGAGTACATCCTGTATATCAGCAGCAATCGTCTCCTCATCCTTTTTTATTTTCTCTTTGTAGATAAGCCTCATTATATGTTTTGTAAGGTACCATGACCCCATAGAACCACTCTTGGATGATTAAAAGAACTAAACTTGCCTGATTCAACGTGGACTGAAGTATCTTCTTATGATCCTGAAATTCCCATGGAAAGGCGCCACCTTGCCTTGAGAAACCACCCAGAGCTCGTCCATGCTTGCAGATATTACATGCTCATTGTGACTAAACTGCAAATCAAGGTGAAAAGAGGGCTATTATATGTGAAGACGATAGATCATTGGTCAAATTGAAGTATTTAGGCAAGAAAATCAATCTCGCCATCAGAATTCCTCCTTGGAACAAGACCAGACCTTGAATGAGCACCTCAACTGCATTCAAATCCTGCAGTTTGGGATAGTAAAAAACGCAGAATCATACTCATCAATCCTTAGACAAGAAACTAGCAATTTACAAAGATAACACTTTAGTAGTCACTGGTCATTAAAGCAGAACTTAAAGTCCACATTTATAAACAAAGAGATTTCCGCGTAAATTATGTGCAAAGCCCAATACTGCCTATAGGCACAGATATCTGAACTACTCGGTATTATAAATTTCTGTAATACAAAAACACTGATCAGGCTAGCATAACTATTCTATTCCCAATATTTTGCAAGTTGGAACTATTACATTGGTTTCTATTCCATTATAAGTTAGATGTATGGTGACAGAGGCTCCCTGAAGCTGTGATCACTGATTGCTTCTTCTGTATTTTCAATGTAAAGACCATATTCCAATAAGTTCAATTAGTGCAAGACTATAACAAGCTCACTGAAATAGTAACATAAGTCACAAAGTGGAGAAAAATGAGTTAAACTTACCAGATGATTGGATGGCTCGTCAAGCAAAATGCAACTCTGCTTTTCTGACCACCTATTTATATGGTCAAAGCACCATGTTATATTTGCAATAACATCCAAAAAGCCTAAGAGAAAGTACAAAGTGAACCGCAATTCAGATTACACATTAACTAACCTCTAATGGAGCCTCACAATGTCATACGAAAATTGCTTCAACAAAAAATTTACAGATCCAACAGTAGCAGAGAGGAGAGAGATGTATCGGACAAGGTATACATTGGTTGAAGTGCAATATTTCCAGTTACACCAAAGGAACACAAGTGAGCTCGAAGCTTTTGTTCCGGAACTCCCTGCGGGAAGAATGCCACATAAGAAGGTATTTTCAGACAAAATGACAGAATGTATGACGAAATCTTATTCCGCAGTGGAGTAAACGCAAACAACTGATACTTTAAAGAACTGAATAGATCTGCCCCAAGGGTCACTGCTGACAATGCAAACACAGAGGCAGGCAACATATCGTTACAATCTCAACCAAATAAGCATGAGTATATTGGCTAAAAATTTCTAGCAAGCTGTAAGTAACAGTTCCTAACCCAACAGAGATCAAGACCCAAACGGAAGGTGGTTTATGAATATCGATCGTATCATGAATTGGAGTTGAATTGAAAGCTTGGAGCCATGAGCTGCCCTAGATAGACTGCTTCATACTACGAAGGATCATCATCAACAAAAAGAAGGTCCTCGATGATAAAGAAAACCATAAAAAAGAAAAACAGCATCCCCTTTCTTCACAATCATATCACAGCTTGCACATAACTAATCATGTTTTTAGATTTTGAGAGAGATTATTCTTATTTAGATCATAATCACTAGAAGAAAATTTAGAACATATCAATGCACCAAATAAAATTAAACGCTGCTTCTTTTTCTGTAAATTGCAAAAAATGAGACATAACATTGACATACTAGGAAGGGGATAGTGCTGTCAAAATTGGGATCTGGATCCCCCATTCTTTTTCTGTAGATGGAAGAAGGAACCGCGGCAGTCAGCAAATGAAAGCGAAAGTGGATCGATTTCACTTCATGTGAGACATCTCCACGGGAAAGTATCATTTGGTATTAAGCATCGAATCGAGGAAGCAGAAATGGAAATCGATGCCTCCAAAAACCATAAAACTCACCCGAACCCTAGGAAACCCACTGTACATGGCCGAATCAATTCACCAGATCTGATGGTTATCAATGTTGATGCTCGGGATGTCTTGGATGAGGGGCCAATAGTCGCCACCGAGGTTTGAGCATCGGTCTTTCAGAATCTCGCATCGATATATCTCCAATCGTTGGAGGGAGGGAGGGAGGCCATCCTCTGGCAAGTACCTCAACTTCGGGCATTCTTGGATCCATAACAGTCGGAGAGAGGAGAGACGGTTGCGAAGACCGCTCGACAGTCTTTCCACGTTCTTCATCTCTCTAATTGCAAGAAGGGCTAGAGAGGAAGGGAAGAGAAGACTCCACGCATCCTCCTCCTCCTCGTTCTCCTCCGAAGGAAACCGCACCTTCTCTCCGTCCCCTCCCATGCTCCATCCGTCAATTATCAGTATCTCGAGGGAAGTGAGCATGTGTAGGCCCCATTCTCTCATTGGCTGCTTCAGGTTCTCGCAGTCCCTAATTTCAAAGGACCGCAAATTGGGAGGCAAGCCTCCTCTGGGGAAGCGTTCGATATTTTCACACCACGTAATCTGTAGTTCCCGGAGGGAAGTAAGACGATGCCACTCATTTGGTAGGGACTTTATCTTCGGGCACATAAAAAGATCAAGTGTCGATAGGGACGTGGGAAGGGGAGGGAAGTCCTCCACCTCCAATTCTGGACAGCTACCTATTCCCAAAAAAGTGAGATTTTTACAGCCGGCAATGTCACAGTTGGCAATAGACTTTATCTTCGGACATTCACTGAGAGCGAAATATGACAGGGTGATGGGAAGGGGAGGGAAGTCCTCTATCTCCAGTGCTGGACAGTCACTTATTTTCAAATGAGTGAGATGGGCGAGCGTGTGAAGACACTGAGGTAAGCTTCTCAGATTCTTACAGTCGGAAATAACCAAAAATTTCAGCGATTCTACTTCGGTGATCTCTTCCAGCGACTCCAGTCCCTCGTACTCCTGAAGACAAAGTTCCCTCAAAGCAGCAAGTCTACCCTTGGCAAACGAAAATGATATCCGAGAGTCTTGATGACTACTCTGCAGATATTCAAATTGTGACATCGTGTTATTGCTATCGGGGTCATCTTGAGGAATGGTTAGTCCCATGATTTTTGGACAATTCGAAATGGTCAAACGTCTAAGTGCATGCATCTTGCTTGGAAGCCTTTCCAAACTCGTGCAATTTGTCAATTCCATCCTTTCAAGGTTGCACAATAGCTCTATCTCTCCTTCTTCCGCCACAAATGATGTGAATCGTGGACAATTTTTGATGACTACACTCTCGAGGCAAGTAAGTTTTCGCATTTCATTTCCATCTTGCCACAGGTAGGTTAGCTTGCCACAGCCTCCTATATCGAGCTCCTTCAACTTATGCATGCAGCTCATAAACCTTGGATCAAAGCAAACAAGCTCCGCAAGATTTTCAATTTTTAATATGGTTAGAGAAGATAGGTTGACGAAACTCTTTAAGATCTCCCTGTTGCAATCCTCAAAATATAACTTATGGAGAGATGGAAGACAAACCACACCTGTTGAGTCATTCAAACGCTGGCAATGACGAATTTTGAGCTCTAACAGATGATCAAGTTGATAAGGCAATGTCCCTGTCAACTCAGGACAGCTCTGGACAACAAGATGCCGAAGACAGGAGAATGGTACTTCGTTTTCTTGGCCTCTGGTATAACGAGACCAATCTTTCCATGCCGACATCCGATCAAACTTCAAAATTGTTAAGGATGGAAAAGGGCGTTCAATTCCGTAAAATTCAGAGCCTATCATGCTTACTGTATTTAAACCTTCAAGAGATAATTCTCTAAGTGAAGGTAGCTGTCCAAGTGATGGCAGTGATTTAACATTAGGACAGTCACGCAAGCACAAAGACACTATCTTAGAGTAACATGGATAACCTAACCATGACGGGAATAGTCCACCACCGTAGTACGAGATAGTGAGATTTTCAAGATTAGTGTGAGGTCGTAGAGCACGAAGCACCTGTTCTTCATGCTCATCATTTCGGAGATTTCCAAAATCTTTATCCCAAAGCAAGATTAAGTTGCTGAGGCCCTCCTTTCCCAACAAATTAGCATCTCTAACTTCTTCCACCTTTTGCAATTCAGATACGATTAATCCTCCCTGAAGATGCGGCAAGTTCTTTAACTCCTTTAACTGTGACCCTTTCTCTGGTGCTACCACGAACTTGGACAAGATAATAAGATTCTTCAAATTACCAATACTCAACGGCATCTCTTTTAGACTCTCTGTATCTCTAATGTCAAGAAACTGTAAGCTGACCAAATTTGTGATATCTTGAGGCAACATAGAAAGGCGCAAACAACCTTTTAAGATCAAAGCTTGTAATTTGCACATGGCGCAAATTGACTCGGGTAGCCTTATGATGCTAGTGTATGAGAGATTAAGATATCGGAGATGTTTTAAATCACCAACACAATCCGGTACCTCTATGATGTCACAATGACATAATGATAACACCCGCAAGTACTTCGAGTTTGTTAGCAACTCATGCAGCACCTTTTTGGAAATATAGATTTTTTTTCCGACATGATCAAATTGAGCAATCAGCAGCATTAAACTTCTTAGTGCCTTCATTCCAGCAAATGCTCTCAAGCTTCTTGATGTAACATACCCCGATGAGATGAATGATGCATAGCGAGCTTTCTCTTCAAGAGAGGCATTATCTTCATCACCCACTAGCTGAGACTCGCTAGAGGTAAAGCATGTCACATCCGCAATTGACTTTGCCAGGTCATTCAAAAGATCGTGCATCGAAAACTTGGATGTGTCAACACTGGATTGTTGAAAAAAGGATCTGGATACTAACTCATCGAAGTAATTGCATCCTAATTTCAAGATATTCTCTTTTGCTTTCCGTCCATCTAAAAAGCCCTCTGCTATCCATAAGAGTACAACATCGTCCCTCTCAAATTCGTAGTCCTTTGGAAATACTGCGCAATATGCAAAACATCTCTTCAGATAAGAAGGAAGATGCACATAGCTCAATTTCAAAGCTGGAAGAACCTCATCATTTTCTCCCGTGGCTACATCCCAAATTCTATTTTTTAAAATAGCTTCCCATTCGTTGGGATTCTCTTTATTACGTAGGAGACCGCCCAATATCTTCACTGCCAAAGGTAAACCTCTACATTTTTCAGCCATTTTCTTGCCAATTGTTTCAAGACCTGGGTGCCTCTCAAAATTTCTTGCTCCCAGAGCATGATAGGATAATAAGCTAGTACAGCTATTAATGGACAACTCCTTCAAAGGATATGGCGAAGCTCCTGTTATGGAAACAACAGAACGGTTGCGCGTCGTGATGATGATCTTGCTTCCCTTGGCCCCAACTTCAAACGGCTTTAAGAGGGATGTCCATTCACCATACTTCTCATTCCATACATCGTCTAAAACCATAAGAAACTTCTTCCCAGACAAATCATCTTTCAACTTAACTTGAAGCCAGTTAAGATCTTTGCCCTCGCAGGGCGATTTGCTGATCAACTGCAAAATAGTCTTCGTTATGTCGAGAACATCAAAAACATCCGAAACGCAGACCCATGCTCTCCTCTCGAAATAGCTGTTCACTCTAGGATCATTATACAGCCGTTGAGCCAAGGCTGTCTTTCCAACACCACCCATCCCAACTATGGGAATTATGCTCAGAGTAGCATCAGAATTTTGGACATCACTTATCAATAGTTCAAGTACCTGTGCCTCTTCCTCCTCCCTACCGAAAAACTGAAGCTCTGGCAAAGAAGTGCTGGGGAGCCTTTTGTTGGTGTAGTTGGATCTGTCCACAGCATTCTCTCTCAAGCTTAGATGAGCCTTCATGGTGAGAATCTTTTCCAACCTGCCATTAATCTCTTGTACCTTGGTCTCAGACACGTGCGAGCGTGATTGGTTAAAGAAAGAGAACTTCCTTTTCAACTGACCTCTGCTTGTGCTGGATTCTGCCTCCGACTTGGCCTTAGTGGCTTCGATATCGAACTCATCAAGCAAGTCTTCCATGTCATAGGCCAAGTCCCTAACATCGTCCAGCCACTGCTTCACTAGACGGTCACCACTCAGTTGCTTGTCCTGTGCACCATCTAGCACGGCATTGATTGTTTCCAGCATCCCCTTCCACTCATCAAGGGCTTTGCTGATTCCTTCTCGCTGCGCATAGTCCAATGTCAGAGAAGTCAACTTGTCGAACAAGACCTGAAAGAAGGAACCCAAAAAGATCTCTCCAATGGCCATGGGTGAATTAGTCACTGTAGAGAACAACAAGGGTTATGGGGAAGCAAAGTGATGATGAGCTTACAGAGAGAGAAAACTATAAAGTCCAGGAAGACCAAGACTTTCACCTACAAAAAAGATCAAACAAAACTCGGGGGTTAGAGAAATCAAAATAAATATACGTTTTGTCCACAAGTGTTGTTTCTTAATATTTGGAGAATATCCCCAGAGACTTTACTGTATATCATTTGCCTTTTTGTCCGGAAAGTGAAGAAAAAGTGAAAAAGAGCTAATGGGAAAGAAACTTCAATAGATTCGAGGAAGACCAAGACTTTGCAGGACGCAAATTGGAGTTTGTTGCTTCACATTTTTGACATCCCTCCTCTTTCATCCCCATGGGAATGTCTCTTTTTCCTTTACCAGTAGAACTTCCACGTGTTTCTTGCTTAAAACTAATGATCCTATAACTCTCGTCCAACTCTTTTCATGTTCATTCATATTGTGATTCTTAAGTCATTAATCTCTGTTCTTGTCTATTATAATTATGTCTAAATTTTCATATATCTTTTCAAATTTAAGTTCAATAACAGAAGAAAACGCAAAGAGAGAAACAAAAAAGAAGAAACAGCAAAAAAAGGAAAAAATATGCAGGAATGAAACCAGCAAGAGCACCACCGTCCCATGGCCATTACCGCACCGTTGCCGTCAGTACCACTGCTAGGGTGACATTTCCAATGGCGCCACCTTATAGTCACCTTCGTAGACAATATTTTTCTAGAGATGTTTTACTTAGAGCGGTTTAGGAGTTAGGGACGATGATATCGTAAGTACCTAAGCTTTTGTTCATTTTACAATCGAGAACCTGCACTTTTTGTTTGTTCAATCAAGTACCTCAATTTTTCGAATTTGGCTCACTTTAAGGCCTCCATTAAATCAATTGCCGTATCATGTGATTTGCTGGCATGACTCATTTACCCAAACAAAAGTTAAGTATAATAGCTTAATGTGGCTCGCTTACCCTGCAGATTGGATGATGAGGAGAGAGTGTGTGTGTGTGTGTTGACTCAGACGATCTAAACCGTCTAATATGTCTGCTTACGTGACAGCATATCAATATACAAGATCGGATGCCAATGTGGACAGTTTATGACCATTTGACGGCGTTAGCATCCTGTCAACATATTTCGTCCGCAATTCTAATGGAAGTCTTGACACACATTTGAAATGTTGAGGTAATTGATTGAACGAAAAAAACTTTAGAGATTTGATTACGAAAAAGAGTAATAGTTTGGATACTTGTACGATGATTGGTCTAAATTCAAATCTCAAAGGAACTTTTGTTTACGCCATATTTATTCTACAAACTCATTCCCCTTGATTCATTGCTTGGTCTCGCCTTAATATTTTTCTTTAGTAAGAATATTCATTCTTTCATGTGAAGGAGAACAGGAGGTGGTGGTGTTAATTTCAAGCGCCAAAAGATTTCAGTGGCTAAATGGCGAGCAGATTGGGAGGCTACAAAGTTCGATCATAAAAATTCGAGCTTTACACTCGAAATATTTTCGTGGATTATCAAACATTTTATTGAAGATAGACTTTTTCTCTATACTTGATTTTCTTTCGGTTGGACATTATATTAATAATATTATCATTAGATGTAACTGTGCGGACACCCATAATATAAAACTTTACTGAGAATTCTTGACCAATTACAATGAAACTGCCTAAATAATATTTTTTGTAGATAATTTGTTCCAACTCTTTGAGAGATGGATCGATATAATCTTGACCGTCTGTTCTGACCCACAAGAGATAAAATTGATACCACAAGGAAAATATTGGACGTCAATGTAAATAGTTAAAGGCTACTTAATAGCGTTGGTTTCTTATTGACATTTTTCCTTTCCGATTTCAATGGAGGTCTCACGTTGACCCACATTTGAAGTGTGAAGACAATTTATTGAACTGGAAAAAAAAACTTTAGATACTTGATTACCAGCACATAGGTAAGAAATTTGATGCACCTCATTATCTGGTTTTATTTCAGTCAATTTGAATATCTTTGGAAGCCATAGATATAAGAATGAAATTGATGGAAGTTCCTTTTATGGAGTTCTTGCTTCAACCACTCGCATGTAAAATCGAATAAGCGACTCCTCTTGAATACAAATGCTTGAAATAAGGCAAAATCAAATTGTGTATTTTTTTTATATAAGCCGAGAAATATTCTCTGATTTTCTTTGTCATGTATTACTCCTAGGCGATTATAAATGATAGTTGTAAAGTCATATACACATGTCAAAAGTATTGAAGTACTAATGATGTCATCCATTTTATTTTGTTGCTTTTCACTGGCTTTATGGTAAGTCTTGTATTTGTTTTTTCTTTTTTTTTATAACTTTTAGTAGTCAATTAGATTCGATTGATACAAAAAAAGAAAACCGGGAAATCGTATTGCTTGCAGTTGAGACCTCTCCGGAACAAATTAGATTAGTGCATTTGACGATTTTAATTTTGTCGTAGGTAATTATGTTGGGTTCAAGTATGCTGAGTTCTAAGGGTTGAGTAATATTTGGAAACAATCAACCAGAGAAACAGTTCATTTTGTTCTAATTCCTAATTTTCAATCACAGGTAATCTGAAAATACGTGCGCAATATTCGTATGTCTACGCCTGTGCGTAGCACATGGATGAACATTAGTAATATAATAAAATTTCATATTTCATAATTAATTGACCTCATTAATTGGGTTCAAATCTAAATAGATTTTAGATTAAATCATCTGTTTTTTTTAATTAATAACTTTTAGGAAAGGGAAAGTAAATAATTGATAGGGCTCGTCAAGGAGTGTACATCTTGTGTATGTATTTTATAAATTGAATCTTTCAATTTAGGAACTCATGAGCAACAGTTGAAATTGTCCAGAACTTAATGAATTTTTCCTATCTTTTTTCTTAGCTCTATCTTATTTAAAGCATAAGTGAGCTAATGGAGAGAGAAAACTATTTCATTCACGAAAACCAAGACATTCACCTATCAAAAACATTTAAACAAGGATTAATGCCACAAAAATTCTAAACTGATACACATGTGACAAATTTACCCAAAACTAATTTTTTGACCATGAAAAATCTCAAATCGGTACACCCGTGACAAATTTACCACAAACTAATTTTTTAACCACAAAAAACCCCAAACTGGTACACCTTTGACAATTTTACCCTAAACTAATTTTTTGACTACAAAAAATCCTAAACTGGAACACTTGCGACAAATTTACCCTCCGTTAAATTGGATTAACACCACGAAAAATTACAAATTGGTAAACATGTGACAAATAGAGGGGTAAAACCCCAGACTGGTATGTCCATCAACTGCAACGTGTCATCTAAATCAGAAATTTGACGATAAAATTTAACGGAAATTAACGGAGGGTAAATCTGTCACAAGTGTACCGGTTTGGGGTTTTTTGGGGTCAAAAATTAGTTTTGGGTAAATTTGTCACATGTGTACCAGGTTAGGGTTTTATGTAGTCAAAAAATTAGTTTTAGGTAAATTTGTCACATACGTACCCGTTTGGGATTTTTCATCGTCAAAAAATTAGTTTTGGGTAAATTTATCACAGGGGTACCAGTTTAGGATTTCATGATATTAACCCTTTAAATAAAGATTAAGAACAAGGTTTTTTTTTCAAGCGTACATTCTCAATAACCTTATGATTTTGATGTCTTCGTTTTTATACGTTATTGGTGAATATGTGATCAATGTAGGCCTTTACGTGGCAATTACGTGCTGAATATTTGCATCAAGATGGGCAGCAATGATATGCTGAAGGGTACTGAGGTTGTAGTTGATGATCGAGAATTGTGGTCCTTTGCACGATTTTCCTATTCATAAGTGTGATGCCTACGGTATAATTTCTAGTAGATTGTACATTGTTAGTTGACGATGCCTGACCCTTTTTCTTGTCCGATGATGAATAAAGTTGGCCACAATTAATAAGCATCTTTGTGCAATTTGCACCGATGGAAATAAATGTTGACTATCCACCTGACAATGGCATCTTACTTTCTATTATACATCTACAAGTCATCAAAGATAGCTAACTCTGACCGTTTGATATGGAGAACAGAAACACGTGCTTTGGGCTAACAAGAAATAAAGTTGGGTGCACCAACAAATCCATGAAGCAAGTTGCTTAATTTTACTCTGGAAATAGTAAACGATTTACAAAATCACCAACTAATCCATTAAGCAAGTTGCTTTGGGCCAACTTTTTTTGTCCTATCAAGCGATTTGCGATCATCAACAACTACTTCAACACTCTTCAGCAGATCATTGTCACCCATCTTGCTGCGAAATTTTCAGCACTGTAGCTTCCACGTAAAAAGCCTATAACTTAAAAAAAAAAAACCAACAAAACACTTGGGAAGTAAATAAATTTTTGACGAAGATATAAATGCCCCTAAGTTGGCCATGTGAAGAAATATCACCTCTTATCCTCTTTCTAACGATAGCCAAAAGTCTTGATCCGGAGAAAGAGGAGAACAGTTGATTTATCTAACTCAAGGACACAATGTGCATCAAAACACGGTCTCTTCGGTCTAATTCAAAATTGCTGGTCGTGATAGCATACTCATCAAGTACTTTTCATCAGGAAAACCAAGACTTTGCTAGATATCATCTACTTTTTTTTGTCTAGAAAGTGAAGAAAAAGTGAAAAAGAGATAGTGGGGAAGAAACTGTAATAAAATCCAGGAAGACCAATCCTTTCCGGGGTGCATATTGGCTTCACTGCTTCACTTTTCACATCTCTCTTCCATCCCTATGCGAATGTCTCTTTTTCCATTACTAGTAGATTTTCCACGCGTTACATGTCTTGCTTCAAATTAATAATTCTATAAATTAGTATAAGAAGGAAGCTAGGAAGGAGCCCAAAAAGATCTTTCAGTGGCCATGGGTGAATCAGTCACCGTAGAGAACACCCAAGGGTTATGGTGAAGCAAAGTGATCACGAGCTGATGGAAAGAGAAAATTATAAAGTCCAGGAAGACCAAGGCTTTTCACCTACCAAGAGATCAAACGAAGACCAAGACCTTTCAATTATGCTTTCTGTCCACAAGTGCTCTCTGTTCATGTACATAAACCATAAACTCAGAAAGGACCAAGACTTTACTGGGCATTACGTACATTTT